TGTCTTTTTGCATAATTGTTACAAAGAAAAATATCACATTTCGGAAAAGGAAAAATTAAGCACTTTTTAAAAACACCCATGGAAAAAAGCACCTTTAAGGTCTTTTATTTAAAAAACGAAAATCAAAAATAAGCACCTTTAAGCACTTGCAACGCACCCTGTTAAATTTGTGTTAAAAAACATGTTTAGTACATTATATTCTATGAAAAACAATTTAGTTTATAGAGTCTGATATTAATAAGTTTAAACTAAACGGATGAGAACGGTTGCGACTGAAAAAACTGTTTAACTTAAATTATACAAAAGTAAAAAATTACTATAACAAGATTCTGGGGATTGATTTGTAGTTTAAAATTTAATTGGATTTAAAGTTAAAGTTTACATTTTAGTGAAACATTTAAAAAAATTTTTAAAAGATTTTATATTCAATACAATTAATTTGAAAATATTTCATTGAAGCGTTACATGCGAAATGTTCACAGTAGGTGTAAATGTAAGTCAATGAATGCAATTATAAACACTATAACTCATTCCACTTCTTATTCTGATAACATTTCAAATAATTTTTTAATGAAATGTTTCTTTAAATTTAAACTACTCTCTTTTTCTTGATTAGAATATGTAGATCACTGTTATTATACCCCATCTTCTTTATTGCACAAGATTTTATTATTATCTTCTTGATTTGGTAATTTAAAATTATCTTTTCAGTGAAACTAGATAAATTTTGCTATATCCTACTAGTAATATTTATTATATATTGCAGAAATCATACTTTGAATCAGCAAAAGCAGTAGGCAATGAAACAATCCTTGAACTTACTGTGATGAAATCTATAATTTAGATAGATTAGAAATTGGGCAAAATGCTGTAGTCATTTAATTTTACAAGACAACAAACAATTTTTATCGTACTTTTTAACTAATCAGCTTTGTTTTGTTAAATATTTTGAGTCATGATCAACAATCATTTTTAAATTTATTGCTTCAAAAAATTATTTATGAATTTTCAATTCGAAATAAATGGTTAAAACAAAATCTGTGCTTCTGGTTAAATAAAAAGTAATTACATTATACTAACTAAAAATATTTTAAATGAGGAAATTATTACTAAATATCTCATAAGATAATTTGAAAAACAATATGCACAATAAAATTCAAAACTATTAAATTGTATCTACTATTTTCTGCTTTAAATACATTTTGAAAAGATAATGTGCAAAATTTACTTACAAAAAGTACAATCTACTAATCTTTAAGTGCATAATAAAAAATAAAATTCAAATCTAGTTAATTGCTTCTAACATTTTTTGCTTTCAATACATTCTTAAAAGATAATGTGTAAAATTTACTTATAAAAATTATAATTGACTTATTTTAAGTGCATAATAAAACACTTCTAAGTGCAGCATAGTAAAACAAAAGACAAAATTAGCTTAATTTAAAATAGCATATTTTATTTAAGTAACTTGAAAACTAATAGTTTCCTTTATGTTCATTCAGATTTCACTTAGTAAAATTAATATGAGGAAAACTGGCGAAAATGAATTTTAATTCAGGGTGTGTAGCCAAATTGTTCAAAAATTATAAGCACCTTTTAAACACTTAAAAAATATTTTTAAGCACTTTAAAAGAAATATCATAATTAGGCAAGGTTGGAAAGTTTTTGACAATTGACAGTTTTATCTTGTTTTAACCGTTATGTTATGTTCGGAAAAAATCCTATTAGCATTGTTTTTGACAATTGTCAAAAACCATGAAATTTTGAATCATGTAAAGCAAATGAAGTTTTCATACGCTACGGACTGACAATACGCCAATATTGACTGGGTTTGAATTGTGAAAACGTTGAATAGAACAATGTGAACTGTTTTTTTTTTTTTTTTTTTGCATAATTCGTAGCAAAAATCAACATTATAATGGAAAATCTCATTTTGAAAAAAGGAAAATTAAGCACTTTTTTAAAATACCCAATGAAAAAAAGCACCTTTAAGTACTTTTAAAAACGCCATGCACCTTGGAATTAAAATATAAAACGGTGCCAGATACAAATGCTGTCTGACATAAAAAAGAAAAATTTATTTACAAAAAAAAAAGGAAAANTTAGAATCAATGCAAATATGAAGAAAAAAAAGATAGTCAATATTTACAAAATTTAAATATCTTATACTAAGCCATAAAATCTTGCTTTAAATAGAAAAATTCAGTTTTCTAGCTTTATTTGCTCAATGCAATTATTAGTGTCAGAAAAAATATTTAAATTACTTCCCAAGAATTCTAGTAAAAATCAAAACAAGCAGTTATGTTATATCTAGCATCTGTCCACATGTACTTCAATGATTATTTACTTCCTTTCTCAATATTAATGTGAATTATTTACAGGGGGAAAAAAAAGATTTCTTTGAAAGTCAAATAGGTAAGAAATTTAATATGACATTGACTTTCATTCAAAAGTACGTAATAAACTGAAAATAAAATTAAGTAAAAAGTTAATACGTATATTCCCAAATCTTCAACTTAAAAATGACACTTTTTTGCTAAAAAAAATATTTACTTAATTTTTTTTTTTTTTTTTTTTTTTTTTTAATCTAGTTGACCTTTCTGTGGAATTGTCCTAGAGTTTAAAAATATTTTAAGCTGTCTATTCTTTGTATTAACATTTTGTATAGTGATTGATTCTATCAACTGATATATTGATTGTAGTAACTTGATCTTTCAATCAGATCAGCTAGATGATCTGTAGAATAACAGCTTTCAACATTTTAGGGATAACAAATAAAATTCTTTCTCTGAATCATACAGGGTCCGTAGCCAGAATTTTCAGCACAAAAAAAGTACATTGTAAGTACTTTTTAAGCACTCAAAAAATATTTTTAACCCCTTCCAAAAAAAATTAGGATAAGTGCAGTAATTAAAACTATTTTTTCTATCATCTAAAGTTCTTAATTTATGAACATAGTATGAACATCTTTACAAACTTCACATAACCATGATGAAATAACCAATTTCTGATAAAAATTGCAAAAAAAATTCTAAAAATCATGCATTTTTTATAATTTAGAACGACAATTGGCACAGCAAGAAAAAATATTTTTAAAAAGATCGAAAATTAAAGAAGAAATCTGTTTAGAAGAAATTTGGATCCGCTAACGGACCCTTCACAAAATATCTTTTCATAAAAACGGACCCTTCACAAAATATTTTAACTTAAAAACGGATCCTTCAAAAAATGATTTTTCTTTTAATCGGACCCTTCACAAATTTGTTTATCTTCATTATTATTTTGTTAATCGAATAAACCCTTTCCAGGGCAGAAAACAAGAAAGATGGATGTAAATGAATTAAGTTTTGTCTTCGGCAGACGATTCTTCCATTATTCGTCCGAAATTAATATTCTGCGTTCAGCAGTATAGGCTAAATACCAAATATTTGTATGTTGCATCTCTAATTTAGAAGCAGCAATTGTTGTTTATTTTTTAAAATTTAATTTTTTTAATTATAATTTTACAGTGTTGAGCATAATTTTGACGGACCCTATTTGCACAAATTCATAAAAGCGGACCCTGGTTGAAAGAATGTGAGTTTAATTCACGAAAAACGGACCTTTCACAAAATGTCTGGACAGACCCCTGACTTATAAGCACTACATGCATTAACAAAATTCAAAATAATTTTTAAAGACTTTAGATGATCATGACAAAATAACTAGTTTCTGACAAAGAACTCTTTTCTTGTTTATATCGTAGTGATCGAGAAATTGTAAAATGATTGAGAGATTTTTCGGTTCGATAACAGAAAGTGGAAAATGAAGCCTGAAATTAAGAATATCTTTCAAAATGCAGCAGAGTTGCACAAGAGATGAAATAATCTCACCGAACCCAACTCAATATATGCAAACGGGGACTCTTAAGTACTTCATCAAACAAGTAAAATGATTAGCGCTTTCATATGCTATGGACTGATGGTACGCTGAAATAGAGGGTGGTTAAATAAATTATAAAATTGTTGAATAGAACAATGTGACGAGCACACTTTTGCATAATACGTGACGAAAATCGACATGCTAAAGAAAAAAAAATCTCATTTTCGAAAAAGGAAAATTAAGCACTTTTTAAAAACACCCAATGAAGAAAGCACCCTTAAGGGCTTTTAAAACACCAAAATCGAAAACAAGCACCTTTAAGCACTTTTTAAAAACGCTACGCACCATTTATAAGATATATGTCTATATCATATATAGATGGATATATATATTTTATCTATAATCTATATGAAAAAATTAAAAACAAAGATTAGTCAAAATATTTTATTAACTCAAAAAATTTTAAACCATATAAAAAATAAATCCAAATGANCCGCATTGGCTTCTGAGCGGCTCATATATAATCTATATGAAAAAATTAAAAACAAAGATTAGTCAAAATATTTTATTAACTCAAAAAATTTTAAACCATATAAAAAATAAATCCAAATGATTTTACAAATTTGAATCTTCGCATTTAAAATAACTGAATATTAAATAAGGAATAACATGTTTACATTATCTGTACGTGGAACAAACTATACTGAATTGAACAAAATCGATGTTATTTGTACTGTTAATAAAGAGGTTACTAAACATTTATGTACAACAAAAAAACTTTTTTTCCTTTCAAAAACACCTTAAGAATAAAATAATTTTTAAATAAACGGAAGACTAACAAAGATGTGAACAATGTACTTTCAAGCTTACATTTCTTCTACTTAATATGACATTCCACCAGATAATGTAATTTATGCAAAAAACAGGGGGGAGGGGAAACCCATCTATGAATCGAAGGAACACATTAAAAAATATTATTTATCAGTTCAGCAGAGAAGCAAGAGGGGGAAGAAAGGAATGAAGTTCTTGATTTGTTACAACCCCTGGATACCAGCCATTGGCATGTTTATGATGTCATGATTTGAATTACAGGAGAACTTTGGTGACAATGATGGTGATGAGATAAATGACCCTTTTTGTTAAGTGTGTGATGACAATTACAGCTCATCACGTTTGGCCTGTTCATCATCTTTTTCTTCCTCTTCATCTTCCTCCTGAAAGGAAACGAGTTAAATGTAAGTACTTCAATATTACTCATTCACTGTTATTGCCCGCTCGGTCGAGGCGTTAAAGTCAAGGGTGATTGTGAGCCAAACTCGAAAATATCTGAAAATTTCTCGAATAAAATAATTAATGACGCATTTCAAAAAATTTATGTCTTCATAAATTTAATTCATTGATATTTTTAGAAAAAACATTAAATTCTAAATAAATTATATGCAGCATAATTTCAATGGATAATTATGTATAAGTTTACTTTTATGTCTAAACACATTTATTATTCCAAAAGAAAAAATATTTACAAATGAAAAAAATGCCAAGTAAAAAATTATAGTTCCAATATTTCTAAATAAAACATATAAGAATTTTTAGACATAAATGTGATAGATGAATTTCTTTAAAGTTCTAGACCTCGGATTTCGGGATCGTGGTTAGGAAAAAATCTGGAAATCTGGATTTTTTCCGGAGCACAATCATCTCTGTTAAAGATAAGACATACAATGCAATTTTTACACATAGCGCCATAACAGGGTTGCCACTCATGTCTGTAAAAAAAATTCCTCGTGTTTTCTCTACACAGGATGCATAGCCAAATCTTTTAACAAAAAATAAGCACCTTTTAAGAACTTTTTAAGCACTATATACATTAATAAAATGCAAAATAATTTTCCAACACTTTACATGATCATGATAAAATAACTAGTTTCAGACAAAGAACTATTTTTTTTTTATTATATTAGCTATTATAAAATGATCAAGAGATTTTTCGGTTCGATATCAGAGGGTGGAAAATGAAGCCTGAAATTGAGATTAAGTTGCAAAATGCAGCAGAGTTGCACATGCAAATGCAAGAATCTCACCAAACCCAGCTCAGTAGACTCACATGCGGACTCGCAAGTATTTAGTCAAACATGTAAAACAATTAGCGCTTTCATACGCTGCCGACCGACAGTATGCCGAAATGGATTGTGGTTGATAAAAACCTTGAATAGAACAATGTGAAAAGCATGCTTTTGCATAATACACGGCAAAAATAGACATGGTGAAGAAAAAAATCTCCTTTTCGAAAATGGAAAATTATGCACTTTTTAAAAACACCCAATAAAAAAAAAAGCACCTTTAAGGGCTTTTAAAAAACAAAAATTGAAAATAAGGACTTTTAAGCACTTTTTAAAAACGCTACGCACCATGTGCCCACATATTATACACAATATATTAAGAGGAAACACACATTCATTGCTCTCTTGTGAGCTATTAATAGGATAACAATGCTAGTTTTAGTTTCTGGAAAAACTTAAGAGAAATAAGAATAAACATAAAGCAAATGCTATAATAAACTAAATATAATATAGATGAACTATCACCCTTAAATATCCCATAAATTGCGCTTTGAGCAATCTGTATTTTTTAAAAGACAAATATAAAAAATAAAATTCCCTGTCTTTTTCCCTGTTTATAAGGAAAAATTCGAAATTTTCATGTTGTGATGCCTTTCAATTTCCCTGTATTTTTCATAGGGTGCATAGCCAAACCCTTCAACAAAAAATAAGCATATTTAAAGTACTTCTTAAGCACTCAAAAAATATTTTTAAGTGCTACATACATTAACAAAATGTTGAATAGTTTTCAAAGAATTTACATGATCATGATAAAATAACTAGTTTCTGACAAAGAATTCTTTTCTTGATTGTATTAGCAACGATAAAAAGATAAGAGATTTTTCGGTTCAATTTCAGGGGGTGGAAAATGAAGTCTGAAATTGAGAATATCTTGCAAAATACAGCAAAGTTGCACATGAGAGTGCAAGAATCTCACCGAAGCCAGCTCAGTAGACGCACAAGCGGACTCCCAAGTATTTCATCAAACATGTAACATGATTGGGGTGCTATCATAGGTTGTGGGTCGATGGTATGCCGAAATGGATTGTGGTTGAATGATTTGTGAAAAAGTTTAATAGGACAAAGAAAAAAAATCACACCTTTGCATAATACGCAGCGAAAATTGACACAGTAAAGGAAAAAAACTCATTTTCAAAAAGGAAACATTAAGCACTTTTTAAAAGCACCCCATGAAAAAACCACCTTTAAGGGCTCTTAAAAAACAAAAATCAAAAATAAGCACCTTTAATCCCTTTTTAAAAACGCTATGCACCATGTTCCAGGTTTTCCCTATTCTCCTTGTGGAGTGGCAACCTTGCACATATACATAATTTGGAAATCAGGGCGACAGAACAGATTACTGCTCTAAAAAATGTTTAATTAACAAAAAATAATTGAGATTACTATAATTAAAAGGAGATGTTAATAAAGTAATTAAATAAAGATTTGCCAGCTTGTTAGCATTTATTCTGTCTCAATTTTCATTAAAATATGAATTATTTGGTTACAAAAAACTTTAAGCTATCTTAAATTTTTCTTTCATAATGTCTAAATCTAAATTTATAAACACAAATTTAAATATAAAATAATCAATAAAACACCTCAACAATATTGGCTAAATTTTTAATCAACCTATAAACAATACATTCACAGCTTAAATTTCGCTATTAAATTATAAAATAAAGCTAGTCAAAACAATTATGAATACGAATTGAGAATTTAGTTCGTATTTTATTTAACTCCTTATTCGCAGATTAAATTTCAGCAGTGAAGTGACTCTTTTGGAAAAAGACTAGAATATTTATTAATTGCATCATTACTTATCTTTTTATTTGAAAAATGTCTCAACTACACTTGAAATTCTTATAGCTATGCGAACAATTTTATACAAAATTTCTTTTTCCAATCTATTCAGAGCAGTATATGAAGGATTAGATAAAGTGAATCTGAATTACTTTCAGAGGAGAGGCAAAAATCTTGCATGGCAGGCTGAGGAAGGACGAGAAACTATACATTTTACAGCAAAGTCCCAAAGTCCAAAATGATAAAATATGGTCAGTCTCTGATACTGTGACGTCACAATACGCATTACATATTTCATAGCTTTTAAAATTTCTTTTATTTCTTAAACTTATTTTTTTAATCATTCTTAATCAAATTATAAGTAAATTAAATTAATTAGTTAATTTTTATTAAAATTTATAAAAAGCAAACATAAAATATTTTATTTTTTTCTTATCTATCAATGTAACAGCCAACTTTTAATTTCAATACTAATGTTGACTCGTTAATTCACTGTCGAGCCTATATGAAAACAAAACCAAGGTGCGTAGACAAATCTTTCAACAAAAAATAAGCACCTTTTAAGTACTTTTTAAGCACTCAAAAAATATTTTTAAGCACTATATACTTTAACAAAATGCAAAATAATTTTCAAAGACTGTATGATCCTGATAAAATAACTAGTTTCTTGCAAAGAACTCTTTTCTCGATTATATTAGCCACCATAACAAGATCGAGAGATTTTTCGGTTCGATTTTAGAGGGGGGGGGGGAATGAAGCCTGAAGCTGAGAAGATTTTGAAAAATGTAGCAGAGATGCACATGAGAGTGCAATAATCTCTCTGAATCCAGCTCAGCATAATACGCACATGCGGAACCGCAAGTATTTCATCAAACATGTAACATGGTTGACGCTTTCAGACGCTATGGACCGATGGTACAACAAAAATAGATGGTGGTTGGAGGAATTGTGAAAAGGTTGAATAGAACAATGTGAAAAGACGCTTTTGCACAATACGGGGGGAAAATAGACATGGTAAAGAAAAAATCTAATTTTTGAAAAGGGAAATAAAGCACTTTTTAAAAACACCATGAAAAAAGCACCTTTAAGGGCTTTTAAAAAACGAAAATAAGCACCTTTTAAACATGCTACGCATTATGAAAAATCTATTTATCTTTACTCTTATTTTCTTACCACAAATATGTTTCATTTACATGGTTATACTAATTCTCACAGTTTTGTTGACGATTCGCGATCACCAAAGTATTTTCAAACCGAAAACTGATTATGGGGGATTGGCTTTATTTTTGGCGTTGTTGACTTTTGATAAATCACCAACTTTGGATCTCTTCCTATTGCTCCTAACTGTTCGTTGGGAACAATTAATTCACTTTCAATTTCCAATTTTTGGTGACTGGAGGTGCCTTTTTGAGAATCCCAGCCGTTGAATATAAAAAAAATGCCAACTAAAATTCTCGATGTAAGAAAAAATTTTATCTTAATCCCTTAAAGGGATTTCTTTTCTTTATTATTTGTATATTTTTGAATTATGGCCCTTTTCAATAATTAATAAATCAATATTTCTTTTAAAAAAATTTAGAAATTAAAGAAATTTTAAAAGCTAGGAAATATGTAATGCCTATTGTGGCATCACAGATACATCTCTGAAAGCCAGCTTTTTGCCCTGCATTATAAAAATGCTTTGCGATTTTTCTTTATTTTTTTGTATTTCCAATGGTCAGAGTTACAGAAAGACCTCTGCACCAAAAAAGGGGAGGAACAAGTGAGAGCATAAAGAAAATAAAAACCTATGGTGTGGCAAGAAAAAGTCTACGAACTCAATTAGCCCCTTGCGCGCCAGTAACGGTCGCACAAAGATGTCCTTTAGTGCCGGGCAATGGTTGTCTGCATCCCCGTCTTCCTGAAGGTCACACTGCATGCAGGTTTCTAACTTCTTTTCTTAAGAAAGTAAAAGGCAGTATTACTCTAAAACCTTTATTGCAGATATTGTGCCTGAGCAAAATTAATTCGATGGAGATGTTCAAAGAGGCAGTCGTGACCAGTGGCTAGTTGAAACTTGGCAACTGATTTGCGCCCTGGTCGCATGTGGAAATCTTTGAGATTATTCCACCATATCATTCCGGAATTTCTCTGTGATTTGGTTTAGAGCCTTAATATTTTTCTTGATTAGGCAGAGGGTCAGCTTTTATTGATGTTTGTAGGAAAGAAGCTCCCTGCTTTGCGAAATAGTCTGCGGACTTGTTACCAGCTATACTGCAGTGTCCCGGGATCCGCAGCAGAACAATTTCTTTAGATAACCCAAACAGGCTCTAAGTTTTTCGCATTTAAAGATGTAAGAGGAGACAGCAGTAGAGTGTGTGATTACCTGTGATGGTTTGGGGGGCTATTTCAAAAAAAGCCAACCCCCATTAGTTATCATTGAAGAGTAAAAATCAATGCCCAATATCATTAAACTGAGACTTTGGTAAAAAAAATTTACTCTTAAGTATCCAAATATGTATGGGGTGGAATATTTCTGCTTCCAACAAGATGGTGCTCCTTTCCATACCACTCCCGTGGTTCAGGAGTGGTACAGCAGACATTTAGCTGACATTTTTGTACAAGAACAAATGGCCCACAGCTCATCCAAGGTGAACCCACTTAACCAATTTGTTTGCTTACATATGCTTTCCCATCTAAATAATTATAAAATCACAAATTTGAGCAAATTCAAAAATGTAGTTGAAAAAAAGACAGGAAATGCCAATGGATGCCTTACACGCCACATGAGATGGGACTTACAAAGGGAATTAAGCTCATTGAGAAAGAAAAAGGCAGTATTGTTCTAAAACCTTTATTGTAAATATACTCAATGATTGCTATTTTAAGATAATGCAAAGCGATTTTGTATGATTTATTTGGTACTATTGTAAAAAAAATTTGAAATTTTATGGAGGACTTATTGATCACCATGTATATAATGCAATATTCTTAGAAGAAAGCATATAAAATCATTGACACCAAGAGCTTCCCTTTTTCCAGCAGAACAGCACCATTTAAAATACTTTGGTTTCTAACTTCTCTTATCCTTCCTAATAATGCAACTTAAGTCTTTCTATTCTTAACAGTTCTCATGCATTTTGTTATAGGCTTCAACAGTCTAAATTTGTTCTTTATTCTTAATAGCTGTTGCAAGAGTATTAGCAAGTATTTCATACTTTTGCTATAGCTGTTTTTTTTTTAAAAAAAATTCCGATAGTCATTAGCCTGAAACAGCTTAACATGAAATATCGCTTTACATGAAACACATGTTTGGTCCTGTGAGTCAGCAATCAATTATTGTTGCATTTTACATGCTTAACATAAGAGCATGTCTGTGAAATAAGATGATGGCTCAGGGGATAGAGACTTCACTTTCAAATAAGTTGAACCGGATTTGAATCCAGCGATGGTTGGTTGATACAAATTTCACACCCGGATCGCAGCGGCCACAGTGCTGACGTAAAATATCTCCAAACGTATCATGGGTTAAAGTTCCCTTGTCCTCTGGATAACAATGAGAGGTTTTGTGGTTTTTCCTCTCCATGTAACGCAAATGCAGGTTAGTGACAAGTCCTCGACGAAGGCGAATTTCTCCCAATGCTTGATCCAGGAGTTCCCTTGTCGTCTGGATTGGGTTCAAAATTACAAGGAATTGAACATTAGTAGTCCTAAACCCAAAAATTGGGTCGGCTGTTTTCTCGTACCCCAGCGCCACCACTTAGATCAGTGCCATTCTAATCCTGCCATCATAGCTCTGACAACTGACATAGTTAATGAAGTCACCAACTGCACATTTTAAACTAGTTGTGACCAGCCAGTTCAGTTCAAAGAATAAATGTACTATCCTTACATGTTCAGGATAAGCAATAAACTATTTTCAGTAAAAAAAGTCACAATACAAAGTCTGTTTTTCTATAGGTGTACTATTTAAGTCTGTCTTGAATAGAAGTTAGTATTTATGTTCATGTTAAATGACACATTTATCATTGTGTTATAAAATAACCCAGTAGGGAAACTTTTCCAATCACATAAGTGAAAATTTATGTTAAAACATTTTAGTCTAGTCTTAAAATTCATTTTTGCTTATGAGGTGAAAAAACTGATTTAGTCTTAACATGGTTCGACTATATTTTTATGAATTAGACAAATGAATTTTATGAATTATTTTTAAAATAACTTATACCAAACCAACCAAAACCATACACAAAATACTACTTCAGCCACACAAAAAGAAACTTTCCAAACCACACATGAAAAAGAACTGCTCAAACTACACATAAAACATGAAGAAAAAAAAACAGCCCAAACCACACACGAAAAAAAAACAGCCCAAACCACACACGAAAAAACTACCCGAAACAAACACGGAAAAAACTATTCGAAACAAACACGAAAAAGCTACACGAAACACACACGAAAAAACTACCCAAAACACACACGAAAAAAAACTACCCAGATTACACACGAAAAAAACTACCCAGATTACACACGAAAAAAACTGCCCAAACCACACAAAAAACTGCAACAAAAAAAAACCACACTATTTTCAAAACTTACCTTCGGCTTTTTGATCTGAAAAAGGCATTAAATAATGTTAAAAACTAACAATAAATATGAAAGCTCAGCATATTTATTTGTTCTAAGAAAAATTTATGATTATAAAAACTTCAATTTTGTATGCATGCTTTATCTGTAATGCTGCTCTATCTATATCTAAGTGCATGTGATTCATGAACTATAATTGCATTTTAAAACAGAGCAGCAAGTTTTATTCTGCAATTCAGGAATAATAAATTTCATTAATTTAATAGTAAATTTTCCAGTAATTTTAAATTTAATTCGTGATTTCTGAGCTACAACAGGTTATTCTGTAACAACCCCATCTCCAATATATATATATATTACTGAAAGAAACTGAACTCTAAAACAATCACCTCTCAACTCCTCTCTGCTTTCTCTGGCAGTTCAACACATTTTGATGTTTTATGTCCTACCTTCCCTTCCTTTATTCCTATATTTTAATTTATACCATTTTTTTCTAAAAACTACCTTTTACGTAATATAAATTTATAAATTAAAATTTAAAACTAACTGTTAAGAACATTAATAAAACAAAAGAAAGGTTATATTAGGTAGCAATAGTAAAAATATAAAAGTATGAAAAAAGTAAAAAGGGTTAAACAGGCATAAAAAAAATAGTAATCGAAATTTTTTTTTCTTCTAAAAATTATACATTATTAATATACAAGCAACCGCATGCACATGTTAAAAATTATAAACCACTGAAAATTATTAACCATCATATCTCATGCATAAGTCAATGGCAGAAATATCTAATGTATGAAAAAGCATACTATTAAGGCAAGATCTAATTTTTATAGCTTATAGAAAACTAAGAACCATAACCAGGGTTTTACAATTATGGCCTTGATTCATCTTAAATACACTCTACGAGACTATGAATTTTACTATTTAAAAGCTGTAACTATCTGCTATTACAGAGATGTTTGGCAGGTTTTTGACACAACAGTGAAATCAAATGTGGAAAAACTATGATTTTTACCACCTTCTCCAAACTGTCTTAATTTGTTCAAGACTGCTCTGCCTCTGCTAGACCAGCATTACTAAGGAAATCACAGCCAATATTTTACGATCTTAATTTTGGAATATGAACTCTTGTTTGAAACCTTTAAAAATATTTTGTTCAAAACCGTAATAATAATTTTAAAAAAAGTGTTGACTGTCAAATACACAACTGTACCTTTAAACCTTTAAAAAAACTAACTTAAACAATTAAATTAAACAATTATTAATTAACTAAACAATTAGAAAAATAAATAATTTGCATCAGGAGTGCCACTCACATCTGGAGGGGGGGAAAAATTTCCAGTGTTTTCTCTGTACATATTCTACAGCATTAAGATGAAACAATAACTGTGCTCCTCTGTCAGCTATATTGGGCTAACTATATTAATTTTAACTTATGGAAAACTTAGAGGGAAAAAGAAACAGCTGAATATCCTTAAATAATACTATAGAGCCGCCATGGCTCAGGGGATAGAGCGTTCACCTTTCAATTAGGCGAACTGAGTTTGAATCCCAGTAAATACGAATTCTGCATCTGGCTTGCACGAACCACAATGCTGAAGTGAAATATCCTCAGTGGTAGACTGATCATGGCTTAGAGTCCCCTTGCCGTCGGGCTAACCGTGGGAGGTCCTATCCATATAACGCAAATGAGGGTTAGCTCCATCAAAAAGTCCACCACAAAGGCAAATTTCTCCCAATACTTGATCCAGGAGTTCCCTTGTCTTCTGGATTGGGTTCGAAATTACAAGGCTCCGGAGCTGAGCATTAGCAGTCGTAAGCCCATAAAATCGGATCGGCTGTTTACTGACGGTTATAAAATAATAATAAATGCTATAGTAGATTAAATAGTTTAGCATAACTGAAATACCATCCTTAAATATCCTATAGATTAAACTTTGTATTGTCACCATTTTTTAAAAGACGAAAATAAGAAACAAAATTTCCTATATTTTCCCAGTTTGTAAAGAAAATTTAAAAATTCCCTGTATTTTTCCTGCTATTTCAGGTGATTTTTACATTCTCTACCAGGTTTTTTATGTGGAGTGGCAACCCTGTTGCATGCTAATTTATTTTTCCAAAAAATTATATATTACTACATTTAAGTAGATAATCTAGCAGATTTGGAATCAAATAAGGCCAATAATTGCAAAACTTAAAGAGTTTAAAAAGAAAAGTGTTAGTAGCTGACCTCTTCTTTAACAGCTGCCCCATCCACACCATCTGATTCAATAAACCTTCTAATGCCCTCTAGTGTGCGTTCTCCATTGAAATCTACAACCTGTGGAAGGAAGTAAAGAAATAGATTAGAAAAATCCTAGTAAATTACCTCATCGGGAGCAGCTTTTCCGTACTCTCCATCAGTTTCTATGAATTTGTTAATGCCTTCGAGGGTTCTTTCCCCATTATACTCAACTACCTACGAAACAAAGCACTTTAGTAAAATTATGTTCAAATTGCATCCTGAAAATAACGGAGGTTAAACAACAAGTCTGTTTCATTTAGACAAATTATTTTTATTGTTAATAAACACTACATCAATAAAAAAAAATTCCTTATCATAGCTGCCAACTTGGAAAGGAAGAAATCCAGTAGATTTAACGAAACTAAATATTTTACATATACTGTACTAATATATGTACTAAATATTTTACACATAAGGAATTTTAAGGATTTTTATAGTATTCAAAATAGAAAAATTAATATTTTCCGATTAAGATTACCATTAAATGTTATGAATTATGTTTACTCATAATTTTGAATAATAATAGATATTTAATTATCATTAGTTAAGGTTTTTTATTATTTAGTTAAAAAGAGAGTTCCGAATAAAAATAAATTGAACATTTTAAAACAAAATAGAGTTTTAAACTGATTTCTATAAATGAGGCTTTATGATATATTGGTAATATTTATTCAAATATTCAAGCAAGCAATAATCTGTGCAAAAAATTCTACTTCAATAGCGAATTTTTTAGGTAACTTACTCAATTTTAGAAAATTTTAGAAAATGTTAAAAAATCAGGAGAATTTTTATTAAACCAGTAGAAACTGGCTAAATCCAGTAGTCCACTGGAAGACCCAGTAGAGTTGGAAACTATTCTTTATTAACATAAATTAAATAAGTAAAAAAATTTTAAGTAGTTTTATTATGAAATAGAGCATTTTCATACCGGCCAACACTGGAGAAATAAAATAACTGAGATTTAACTAGTGATATTTTTTAAGCTACGAGTAAAGTTTTGATACATCATGTAACTCAAAAAGAGAAATTCAAATTTGGAAATTATAAAAGCATTTACATTCAGCAAAGTAAAAAATTTATATATAAATCTTAATCTAAAGAAGATTTTTTTAAACCATTATTTATAATTACTTAAACTATTAACACTCAACATACTGCGCACCATCTGTTGAGGAAAAAGAGAAGTATTTTTGCCATCAGCAGATATTTTATCCCAAACTTTTTTTTTTTTAATTTTTCAACAAATACGGAGAAATTTGAGTATAAACTGGTAAACAGGAGATAGTCGTAAAATACAGGAGTCTTCAGTTAAAAACAGGAGACTTGGCAGGTATGCATTTTACATAAAAGTGTTGGGACTTACAAAAAATTATCTTTTCCGAATAGTTTAGTCCCAAAAACAATATTAACTTATAACATTCTTCTAAAAACAGGAAGAAAAAATTCTTTTGGCAGAGGCCTTAAATTTCAGATAATAATGCACCATTTAAAATGACCTATATTGAGAGAATTCAAATACATCAAGCAAAATGCAAAAAAAAGTGAGACCTTTAGACTATCTTTCCATGTAATCTATGAAATAACTTAACACATAATAATTTTACTAAAATAGAGTGAAAACAGCTTCAAATCAGTTAAGAAACAAAATAAAAAGACCTACTTCATTAGTATCTTTTTTGTAGAGTTTAATTGTGGGGAAGCTATTGATTTTAGTGTGCTCCAGTTCATTGGCAGTGGCGTCCATTTTTGCAATGACAACACTGGGATTGTCCTTGTATTTCTCACCAAGTTCATCATAGATAGGAGCCAACTGCTTACAGTGTCCGCACCATGGTGCATCTAGGAGAGAAATTTATTACCATATATATATGTCATACTATTTTCTAAATCCTTGCTTTAACATTATCATTCATAGTATCAAACTCCTCAACAGAACAAGTATTTTCTTACTTTTTTTAAGCTTGAGATTTTTCTACTATGATGTTCTAATTTATAGAATGGGAGCAGAAAATGATTGCATAATTAATTAAAACATTTAAGAACCAAGTTTTGAGAAAGCATGTTAAATACTTTGCAGATTAATAAAAAACAACTGAAGCTGAGGTCTTTCTTTTATCAGATCAGCAAGTGGGTAAAAAAAATTCTACTTTCAAGGGTCAGCCCAGGTTTTTTCTACGAGGTACCTATTTTATGAAAATTTAGACACAATTTGTGAAAATTTTAAATTATATTAAAACATCAACACAAAAATATGGTAAAGTAAAAAAATATTTTCAAAAATTGTCACTACAAATAAGAATTATTTATGACCGGTAAACTTAGATGTATTTTACCCCATATATTATAAATTGTATCCAAATTTAAATATCCATAAAAATCGTCCATAGTTAAATTTCAACCTTGAATTTAATAAAATCATGCACTTAACAGTAAAAGTTATTTCCGTTATGAGAACATTTTAAACTGGGTCATACGGAAAAAAATTTCACAGAAAAAAATATTTCATAAAAAAAATTTTAAATCTGTTAGAAAAAAATTTTAAATAATGTTTAAGATAATATTTTCAATTTAAAATTCCAGTAAAGTTCACAGAGGGAGAGTTTCGTCGTTTAATTTTAACACTGAGAAGAAAATAAGGCTTGCTATAATATGGCTCAAGTGACTGGTTAGGCTTACCACACTACATTATCTGACCAAACACGTTAACAGGGTTTGCATGGTACTAGCGCCACCTCAATTAAAGAACAGAGTGCTTGATGCTCCTTTCTCCCACGGTGTTGCTCTGGACAGACCCCTTATTTTTAACTTATATCCAACTTTAACTTAAAATTCCTTTTTTTCATAGTAGAGTTTAATTGATAAAGAAAAGAGTTTAATTGATAAAGAAAAGAGTTTAATTGATAAAGAAACTTCTAAATGCTTAAAATATTAGAAAAAAGTGACAAAACAAGCATTGACCGGAAATGCTTTGTCAAACAAATACAACATAATCTTTGAAAAAATTAGTAGTGTTTTTGATTTTAGACTTTTATCATCTCTTAAAAAGCAAGATCACTCTATTTTATCCAAAGTCTCATTTTTAAAAATACATAAATAAAATTTCATAAAAATTGAAAATATAGTTATAATAACAAACATAAATTAAAAGGTAGAGTAAATAAAAATCTTACAAAATTCAACAAGAACATTCTTGGATTTATCAAATGCCACTTCATTGAAATTCTTTCCGACCAACACCTTTACAGGTTCCTTATCCCATCCTTCAGGAACGTCTTCAGAGAGTAGATGTTGCTTTTGGAGAAAAGTGCATCATTATTATACATTTATTATTATACATTCATTTATTATTAATAAATAAAAAGTTCACTGCTGGTGGTAAAACAAAGAATCCAGCAAGGGACTTTCCTAGTTTTCACAACTGAGAGCATTTTCTTATCTTTGCATCTCTAATGAAATAGTATTTATAATAAATCATTAGAAGAGATATACAAATATATTAACTTCAATTCATTAATGAACAGCATTGTTATAACCTTTTATAAAGCTGGCTATCTCTTTTTACTAACAAAACCATCTAGACTTACAAAGGAAAACATACTAAGCAGAAATAACTATTTGTTGACAAATAGCTTATATTTCGGAGTGAATATAAATTGATGAGGGAAATTCCTAATAAAGTTAGGAAACTATTGAGTAACACGGTTGGTGAATATGAATTTAATGTCAGAATGCCTGAATATTGTACCCAGCATAAGTATGCTTTGCATGACTGGCAGAAAGGGCAGCAATAACCCAGAGCACCAGTTTATGACAGTCAGGGACACAGAATAAGATTTCACTAAATTATCTATTTCCTCTTTTTTTTTTAAATATTGTTTGTTTGAAAAATATATTAACATGTTTTTATTTTTTATAAATTCTTAGATTAACTTTCCTCATGGATAAAAGTTCTGTATGTAAAAATTTTCTTTAAGCTTCACGTCCAAGTTCCTATTGAATTAATACAAGACTAAATGCAAGACAGAATTAATACAAGTCTATAAACCATAATATTTTATGTAGAAAATACTTCTATTTAGTTTCAAAATGTAATTTTAAGTTTTCCTTCCAAATTTCAGAGGGCCACATAAAAACAAGGCAAAAAGGTTTGCTTCCAAGATAATTAGTAAACATTAGATAATTACCAGAAATGTAAATTTATTCTTAAAATATTTTACATATTTTGTTCTTTGATATACATTTAAAATAATTTAATAGCTTTTTCCCTGTTATATTAGATAATTTTTAAATTCCCTGTATTTTCCAGGTTCTCCTTATTTTCCCTGTGGAGTGGTAACCCTGAGGAAATTGGCAAGTCTGTGAAGCCAAGCTTGATTTATTTAATGGTTTCACATGCTTTGTAAACATATTTTTTCAAGAATAAGATAATATTATCTATTATGTAAAAAAAATAATAATAATAATAAATTTTTACATTCAAATTTATTATTATTCAAAATGGACTGTATTAGATAAATAAGCTATACTCTGTTCAGCAAGAACTAAAAACAAAAGTCAGCCTTATTACATTAAGTTTGAATGATAGACATAAAGGCTATGACAAACAAGGCTTATCAGACTAATATTAAGCAGGGTTCGTGATTTTTTGAAGAAAAAAATAAATAAAGATTTCTTTTATTATTTAAATCTGATTTTGTTTTTAATTCAAATACACTGTAAGAACTTTGATTTATGACTAAAAAAATTTATAAATGTTTAATCAAAAATAAATTAATATTAAAATTATATTATAAGAATACTTAAGAAGCTCTAACTACCTAAGACAATTTTTCATTATAATACATAGCTTTGAATGCATAGCAACCATTTTGAAACAAATACACGATTGAAATTTAAAGACTAGAGAATTTAAAGAATACTTTAACTAAACAAAGTTTCAATTACCAAACCATAATTGTAATTTAAAATTGTGATTTATTTTTTTTTCTCTTGATTTTTAAAATGACAAAATAAATGTAACAGATGGTGTTTATAAATGTAGTCATTCATCAAAAAATAAATATTTAATCTGTACATTTTTATATTAAAATATTCATTTTTAATCCTATATCAAAATAGATAAGTTAAGCTAAAAATAAAAAAAATTTAAAAATCGATGTACTCATTGAAAAAAAATTTTCACAAAATTTCTTTATAGAAAATCTGATAATGTCAAAGATACTGTAAACATATTATGAGGAAAAAATACTTAAATGCTTACTTTAATCTGTACTTTTAATCTCAACAATCAAGAGATTTTTAAAAATGCAATTTCAAATGTGTCGGAATTTAACACACGCCAATAAATTATTTAACACACACCAATAAATAATAAGTTTTAAAACTAATGCAGCAATTTATTTAAAATAAATTTTTATAAGAAATTAAATAATAAAAGTATCAATAATTTAAAACACAGTTTTTAACTTTTTTAATCATATATATCTATATNTGTATGTGTGTGTGTGTGAAATTAGTTGATTTAAATCAATGATCTTTTTAAAAAAATCATGATTCAAATCAACAAACCCTGATATTAAGTACGAAAAGCACAAGCCGAACAAGGAAATGACAGAAATTTGTCAAGTGCGCTTCTCATTCACTTCCACTATTAGTTCTCGCTGTATGATTTATCACAGAATACTAAGTTTCTTTTTTATTTCATTTTAATCCCTGAAATTGTTAAAGAAATTCATGCGAGCGCTTACTTTGATTTTACCATCCATAACACCATTAACAAAGTCTCTAATATCACTCTCGTCAATTCCTGCTGTCTCAGGTTTGAATTTAGACATTTCTTCTTCAAGTTTGATCAATCTCATAGTAGGTGCTTCTTCTTTCTTCAGGCCAAAGAACTCGATGATTCGTTCGTGATCGTCTTCGTCGATATCAATGGTGACGAAAAGTACTTTTCCTTTAAATTCCTTTGCAATTTTACGGAAAGTTGTCAACTTGCTCTCGTAGTCAGAGCTGCTTTTGCTAATAAACAATAGATTGTGTGCTTTGATATCTCCACCAAATATTTTTTGGGCAGTCTAAAAAAAAGGGGGAAATATGTTAAATGTTTGTTAGACTGTATATGAGTAATCCTTTTGCTTAAACATTAGAATTATTTTTGCTATATACTGTAAAAATAAAGGTTGGCCCAAAGTACAATATGAAAAATTTCAGTTCAAAGAATTTGGAGAGAAACATTCAGTAACATAAGTAGGTTAGTATGGTGTTTTAGACAAGTCTTTCTTCCAACTTGCATGTGACACACACAGTGTTTAACAGCTTAAAAAAAAAGTTACTTAAAGATCAAAAATTTTTAAAAAGGGGGACAAAAAAATCTCTATATTTAGTGATATTCACTCTATAGTGATATTATACAGTGACTTTCACTATATAGATGCACCTAATGTATAAACTTTGACTGGCAACTCCTTGGGATCAGCAAAACTCTATAAACGATGTCACGCTTTTTTTATTCATGAAAATATTTTTTAAAAAAACACAAAAACTAAGTTATATTACTAAACATAGAATAATTTTCAAATTTAACTTTAAACAGACTTAGTAATCCATATTTTTGAAATTGCGCAAGAAATAACAAATAATCTATTCTCAGATGACTAGTTTAAAAATTTATTTTACCTAATTAGCAGAAAAATTATCTGATACACATATGAAAAAAACCTATCTAAGGTGCAAGGAAAAAAAAAGTTAACACTAATAAAACATTGAGAGACCTTTTACATCAGCCAAATATAGTAGTAAAATTATAAATTATAGATAAACCAGAGTTGGCAAGATTTAGGACAAAATGGATTAATCCACAGTTTAGAGCAGGGTTTAAACCATCCTGTCCAAAAAAAAACTTTCCAAAACTGTCCAAAACTTATTTACTCAAATTATGTCACATTTTAAAAAAAATATTGTGAAATATAAAATGTTAATTTTGTTAAGTTTATTATTATCTTTAATATTGCATTAGTTATCCTTATTCAAAAGCATAATTTATCAGTATTAAAAGCATATTTATTCATATTTAAAGCATATTTATTCATATTTAAAGGTATTCACTTTTGCTGTTCAATGAATTGTGGAGCTTCAAAAATTATAAATCTTTTCCTATTACATTATTTTTCTATTACACTATTTTCCTTTAATAAGTTAAAGCAAACTGCATAGAAAGTATCAAATATTTATTAATATATGTAATTATTATGTAGTGTATAATAGTTACACATACAGAATTTTTACCTTTTACCAAAGTACAAGTTTTTGGATCCTTTAAGACATTTTAGAACAGTTTTAGTCAGTTTAAAACAGTAAAACCCATGTGCCGTGTCCAAAATCAGTTTAGGACATCCAAAATCCCAACCCTGAGATAAACTCAATTTTTTTTTTTAAAGGAAAAAAATTTTGTGAAAGGCATGTTTATAGGATAAAATATTTTGTAAACTAGAAAATTTTACTGTAAATACAAGACCAATTGTTTTAACGATAAATAATTTGTGAAATGTCCATAAGAAATGTACCCTAATTTCTCCAAAAATCGTTCTCTTTATAAAGACAACATGATCCACAATGTTTGACTGATTAAAAGAAACTTTACAATTTTATATACTATCTATATTGAAATTAAATTACAAAGAATTGAAAACATTTAAAATCTTGTTTTAAGTATTATTATCTTATATTGAGTCAATCTAATATGCTGGAAAAAAGAATTAAACATCACCTCGTGATTGAATTCAACAACAAGTGGAAGACTGTTAGACTTCAAGAATTTTTTCAGAGCCTCTTCAGTGTATTCCTCCTCAAAGTCATTCCTACCTTCATCGAACTGCAACAGGAGAAAATAATAATTAAATAAGAACTATTGTGACAAAATAAATACTACAACAAAAACAGAAGTAAGCATACCTTCTTGAACAAGGTAACACCATCTTTAGATGCCTTCAGTTCGGTATAGACTGCATCATCTGACGTGATACCGAAGTTGAAGTCGTCCATTTCGGAAGCAACGCTCTTGAACACTTTAGCGTCGGCACTGTCTTGATCTTTGAAGAAACCAACGACTACAACCTCTTGACCTTCAACAAATGACTTAGCAGTTTCAGCAGTTAATTCTGTAGCAGGAGGTCCAGTTTTCTTTTTGAGCCAGCGAATGATGTCATCGGCAGTTCGGCCACCTGATATTAAGAGTTTACATTGCAATAGCATATTGGTTGCTTAAAATTCACTGATAAAAGTTAGACAACTTAAGATAATAGAATAAGATAGATAAGAATTAGATTAATACAGTAAAATCTAAATAAGTTGACCATATCCAGTCATTTGGGTTTTTTTACACAACCAATCATAATAGATAATTTCATATTTTTACACTACTTTAATTTTATTCAGCGAAAACACAATATAGGGTGACCCGGGGTAATTCACGATCACTCTGTTTCTGGGGTAAATAATGATCACCTAAGTTTTATTTGTAAGAAGAAAAAAAAAATTTTTAATTTGAGACATGGACAAGAATGCTTGAACACTTTACTAAAATATAACTACATTTACTTAATAATAATTTTTTGTTTAATCTAACAAAATTAATATCTTTTAAACTGCTTTCTGTATTTTCCATTTCAAAGATGAGTTTCAAAATGTGAACATTTCTGCAAAGATCCCTCCTTCTCTTAAAAATAAATATTTTGAGTTACTTTCTTTTTCTTTGATATAAAAAGTAGTGTAAGCTTTTGTTTAATTGTTTTACATCTACTGTAAAGATTATAATTGATTATAGGAAACTATATCAAATGTTGCCCCCTACAGATGGGGTAATTATTGATCACTGGGGTAATTCCTGGTCATTGTCGTTTCTTCTTATAAATAGTATATAAAATAGCTTATAAATAGTTAATTGTCGTTTCTTAAATAACAGTTCATATTTAATAAGTGGAACAACAATAAAATATATTTTAATTGTCAACACAAAATTTGTTTTTAACTGCATACAAGACTGTATTCTGATTTGCACCATTTCTGGTTTGTTTTACCTTGCTTCTATCATAATTTTATGTGTGTACATCGTTAGAATAATTTTTAAGTTTATAAATTAGCTAGTATAATTGTTAGAATAATTTTTAAGTTTATAAATTAGCTAGTATAATTGTTAGAATAATTTTTAAGTTTATAAATTAGCTAGTATAATTGTTAGAATAATTTTTAAGTTTATAAATTAGCTAGTATAATTGTTAGAATAATTTTTAAGTTTATAAATTAGCTTAGTATAAATATGGTGAGAAATTATAAGCCTAAAAAGGATACTAAGCTTCTAGAAAACAAAATTAGTGAATTTCTTTTAATGATTGAAAATGAAAATTTCAGTGTGAGAGCTGCTGCCAGAGCTGTTGGCATACCTTACTTAACTTTACACTTTCCCTTAATGAAGTTAAAAAATCCAGCAAAAGTAACCCATGTGGGAACTCTCTTATATTTCAGAAGAACATGAGAATGAGTTGGCTGATTGCCTAAAATGTATGGCAC